TTAAAGCTGCAGTCCGTAACTTTTTTTGGTTCAAAATGATCCAAAATCAATATTTGTGCAAGTACATAACCAGCCAGTGTTCAAAACTATTGCCTTACTTTTGCCTGATTCACAACGGTTATCTTATAATAATGTTTTCTAATTTGAGTTGTACGGGTAGGTTTTCGTGGGAAATTCGAGCATGCTGCTGCGTCATGACGTCACTTCTGTAAACATAAAGAAGTTGTCCCGGCTGCTAGGCTATCGCAAGTGAGGATCCTGCAGGTGGTGGATCGTTTATAGCCTTTTCTCACAGAAGCTAGGATAATTAATTGTCAAAAAATCATTTTGATGGCGGATTGTAATCCAGAAAGGATTATATGAAACATGTGAACGAAATGAAATTATATTCCAGTTTTAAATGTGCTTCTGATTACAGATAGCCTGGAATTACACAAGATTTGTATTTTAAAGACAACCAGTTCGAAGGGAGCATAATTTGCAAAATTCTTATTTGAGTCATATATTCCAAGATGTAGGCTAGAATCTGTGATTACTAAGTATAGGATTCACACCGGTGCGGTGACTGACTGCCACACATACTCCTCAAAACATTAGATTCATCCATGCTGGAGCCGCGCCAGAGTACAACCCACTCAAGGAAGATAATTCCGCAAGTAACTGCAATTACAGGTTTTCAAACAGAGATGGCGACAAAGAGGCAAAACTTACGGACTGCAGCTTTAACAATTAATCATGCAACTCTACTACATCACCAAACATGGTTTCCTGTAAAAGTGATATCTGGACCATAAAACCCAGAGGAATCACATGACGAAACAGACAGAGGGTCTGATCTACTCCTTTTGCTTTGGGTGTTTGGGCGGTCAGAGGTTTTCTTTTTTCTTGACACATCCTGACTGCTGTGGCCAGCAGGTGCACTGGATGCTCTAGCTCTGGCCTCTTGATGAGAAGGTCCAGCCTGGCCAGCATGACTGGATGTCTCTCCAAGTAATGCCGTGAATAAAACTCAGAGGTGAAGGAGTGACTTGAAGAATCTGATTCAGACTGGTGGTCTGATCTCCTCTGTTTCCCTTCTCTGCTGTCTGACCTGCCAGAAGTCTTCCTTTTCCGTATACCAACTTGACTCAACAAATTCCTGGCTGCTCTGGTCAGTAAGTGCTCTTGATCCTCTAGCTCTGGCCTCTCTGTTGTCTCTGTGAGAAAATCCAGGCTGGTCATCATCAGTGGATGTCTCTCCAAGTGATTCCCCAGAGATGAGGGAATCAAATGAAGAGTCAGGATGATGGTCTGATCTCCTCCTTTTCCATTTTCGGCTTTCTGACCTCCCAGAAGTCTTCCTTTTTCTTTTACCACCTTGTCTAATCTTTGGTCTGCAGGTGTTCTCTGGATCCTCCAGGGCTGGCCTCACGGTTGACCTGGTGAGAAGGTCCAGGCTATTCGTCATCCATAGGGATCTCCCCATGTGCTGCTGGTGGGTTATAAGTATACAAAGGATAAAACCCAAGGGTCGAGGATTCACCCGCAGCATGCACAGTTACGCCCCAGACATCTGTTTGCCAGGTCAGCATGGAGACCAAAGGACTATATTCAGCGTCAGGTGTCCATTGATACAATAAAAGTTCCCGGAGAGCTCTTTGAGTACGCATCAAACCTATACTTGGGTTAAACGCGGTCATGTAACGTGGTAAGCGTACTTCTAGATGCATCAACAGGCCATGCTCGTCTTCAAATTCTACAATGAACATAAGTCCTGGAAAATCATCTCTATTAATATAATTTTCCTCATCGTGACCGACAGGAGGTTCAAACAATAGGATGTGTAGCTGATGGAAGATATTATTAATGTCACCTTGATCCATGTCAACTACACACTAAACAGTTACTGTGAAATGTGAATTAGTATTTTAAGTGCAGGTGTCTGAATACTGTATCCAAACTTAGTCAATGCTGTTATGAGCCTCTGAGGTACATCTGCTCAATTTATCGCTTGTACTTGAAATTCTTGCTATTGTGATGACATAGATTGTTCAGATTGTGAGAATTCTGTAATCTCGGTTTAAAAAAACAAAAGAATCTATACAGCTGTAATATGTTCTCCCACAATAATGAATAGACAAACCAAATAACATGAAATTTGCTAGAGACTCTGACAAAATGTTAATTGATGCAGTCTATTGACAAATATTTACTAAAAATATTTACTTATAATCAAGTTTTTTTTTAGCAAATCTCTTAAATTAAAGTTTCAATGACAAATAATTTTTTTTTTAAAGCACAAGTTGTTGGAAAGTATGTATAAGGTGTCAATTATAAGTAAGTTTTGTGTTAAAGCTTATAATAGCACCAATTGAATCAACACAAACAACATTTCTGAGGAAAAATATTAATTATAAGTAAGCTTACACTTATTCTAAGTTAGATCCACTATTGTATGCTGTTGCCGTATGGCAACATATCATAAAGTACCTTAAAATAATATTTTTTTCAAAAAAATGTTTTACAGCACTTCAAGTTAAGCCATTCTTAGAAAAGAAAAAGATTCAAATATTTTTTTCTATAGGTCTATCATAATGCGTGCGGCAATAATAACCATACTAAGTGGGTTAGAAGATTTTATGAAGATGCTTTCATACCTATACATTGGGGGGGTGAAAAGAAAATGATAACATGAATTATGATTAAAATACTAACTAGACAAAAATAAACATTGAAAAAACATGAAAAAACAACACCATTGTAGTAAAATTCTAGAAATTGTTTTTTTTTTTTTGACCCCTTTATAATTATTTAATATGTTGTGTCATGAATTTACTATTTTGGGAGCGAAGTACTCACTGGTGAACAGGATATGACTTTGATTTCCTCCAGGGCTTGGGACAGACAGTCTTCAATCTCGCTGTCATCCAGAGAGAAGAGGTCTCCTGCACGGGACAGGTCTCTCTGTCCCAGCACTAGACGGAACAGCTGGTGCATTCTGGGACAGGCTCAAACTTGAGCAGGCTGCCCATGCCCGGTGTTACCACGATGACTTGACATGATCCTGAAATGCGCCCAGTATACATGCATCAGACTAACACCTACAATCTGAGACAGAGAATGGAAAAAGAGAGAGAAAGGAAAAGTGATCAAAGTAGTGAAGAAACACAACTATGAGGAAGATGAATTAAGGGGAAAAAGGAAAAAAAGGAAAAGAGGGAGTGAGAGACAATACAAGAAAAAGACATTTAAACTTTCATTGTTTCATTGCATTTAAACTTTCATTGTTTCATTGCATTTAAACGTTCATTGCATTTAAACTTTCTTTGAAAACTTTCATTGTTCTTTGAAATTATTTTATTAAGGGCAGTAGGGTTATACTTAGTCTTCCGAAACTTAAATTATATTCTTTAAAACTATAACATTTAAATAAAAAAGAAATAGTTCACCAAAAATTCTAAATTATTAGCATGATTTTTTTTCCAAACAATATCCAGACTGCAAATATTTGATAATATATTTTTAATATCTAAATATTTGATGAAATTACAAAAAAAATTAAAAACACTTTTGATACTTGAAATAAAATAAAATTTAAATAAAATATAATATAATAATAATAATAATAAAACACACACACGCACGCACACACACACAAAATACTAAAGATTTACTAAATTTAAATGAAATTCAGAAAAATTAAAACAGGGAAAAAAGGGAGTCCAGAAAAATGTAAACAGAAAAAAAGAATTTTGGGGAAAAAATAATAATATAACATGACATAGAACAACATTACATGATGACTGTGAGTGATATGATGCTTGAGTGTGTTTACTCCCTACCAGAGGCAACAACTGAATACTGCTCTCTTTCGAATACTTCTCTATTTTTAAAGGCCACTTTGAAATTTCTCCTTTAGTTTTCCTCACAAAAATACAGCATAACACTTTGGAACGAGGTAAATGAATAAACAAGTTGAATAAGTAAAAGTCCGGATTTTCACTAGTCCCACTAGTTCAAATATTCTGTATGCGTAAAAAA